CCGCCGCTGCCACCGTCGTCGTCTTCGTCGTCTTCGTCGTCGTCGTCGTCGTCGTCGTCGTCGTCGTCATCGTCGTTGTTGTCCGCCGACAATAACGTGTCTCTGCAAGAGGGGACAGACTCGGACAACTGGCCTCCACTCTTCGTTCTTGCTTGCTCTGACTCACGATCCTGAGGTACAGTCGTTCCTGATAACACATTGCGTCTCCATTTTTGATAAGGGATCTTTATACAGTAGCACTAAACCTGTTGACCCTGATTTTTATCCAAGAATTACTTCGCTACATGCACTCAAAACAGGATGTTCTTCTGATTTTTATTAAAACCATTTATTTCCATCCCTGCTTTCTTCTACGATGAAAATTGTTGGTCGATGAATGCTTTGTTCCATGTACCACCACCGTCGATAACCATGTTATCCTACATTGATCTGTTAATTTTGAAATAAAATTTGGAATTAAGAATTTGGCCCGATTGAAAGAAGAAAGTACGAAAGAAGAGGAAGTTTGTCTAAAGCAAAGAAAGAATTTGTTCGTTGCGCGAATGTTCGGAGACGGAAGAATTCCGGCGGAGAAAAAGAACGGCCGTTTAAGGAAAAGCAACGTGATAGCAGAGCTGACTGTACCGTGATATGGGGACATTGGCGAAGTAGGGAGAGGGCATGCAGGGGCCAGAGATCGGTACGCGGACCCAACTGCGAAACCTAACCTTCGATCGGTAAAAATTCGACCGGCGAACGGCCGGACCTTGTGCCCCGTATAATTCTTTCGCAATATACCTGGTACACGTGCACGAGCGCCTCAAAGATCCGTGTAAAATCCAGCCCCCTGCCGATCATGGGGTTCCCGGTACCGGATCTACATGGTCTTTTTACCTCGTAGCGTGTACATAAAGAAATACTTAACGTAATTTATTTTATTAAATGTAAAGTGGACATAGAAACAAACATTTTGGAATGTATAATCTAAAAACCCGATATCTAAAAAAAAAGTGATTACGTTCTCGCTTATGCGTTAAATTAGAACAGTAGAACATGTTCCCAAATTTCTATCGTTAAGGATCGTCATTTAATCGTGCAATTGTCACAAGACACTGGAAAGGTTTACGAGTAGCGTACCGACGAAACTTGAAACATCTCTTTGTACGAGAGTGGATATCCTTTCTCGAAAGGATTGTTACACGTTCTCTGTTCACCTCGCGTTGTTACGGTTGCGGTGGTTGCAGGAGACGTCATCGTGAAAGAACTAGACGATCCAGTTCCCTGTCAATAACTAGAGCGACAGAGACTCGGGTGAATCGATCTCATTGACACCGGATTTGCTACAAGTCTCTAGCCTCGTTCTAGAAATTGACCTACTGGTTCGCATTAACGTCGTACCGTGCTTCCTGTCGTCCCAGCATCCGTGACTATCTTCTTCGACTTCTGTCGATTTCTTTGCCTCAATTTTTTACTTCGATTTCCCGAGTAACAAATTTTTTACCTTAATCGTTAATTGTGTCGGCGATTATCGAAAGACAAAATTGTGGTAGAAGAGTTTGAAAAGAGAACGAAAAAACTAACAATTTGCAAAAGTGACGATTTGCTTAATTTTTTGCCGTCTTTGTTGCACAGAAGCCGTGACCGGTTGCACGATTTTAATCCTCGAAGCGTTTCCTGAGAGAAGGAGAGCGAATATCAATCAAATTATTACGGCAATCTGGTTCTCGTGACAGCCTCCGGAGCAATTTCCAGCACAATGCAAGCGTGTTGCAATCGTTCGACCGATCGAAAGACGCGTGAACTGAGATCCCAGATGCGTCCGGAGATGAATTTTTGTCAGTCGAGAAATCGTGCTCGTCGTTTATAGGTTTCTGACGTTGTTATTAGCGATCCCTGATCGACTGTTGGGAAACTGGGTTATTTCGTGCTTCTATACGCTACGTTAGTATACGTTAAAAGGCCAATTATCGAAAACAGATTATTTTTCGGAGATAAAATTATTATGTTCGTATCGAGGAAAGTTAGAATTTCGAGATAATTATCAGGTATAGTGTTTAAATAAAATTGTTTAGTCTTGTTTTTAGAAAAGTTTCGACGCGTCAAAGCTGCAGGGAAACGAGAGAACAAGCGAGGTGAACCGAGCATCGCGGTATCCCGCTATCAGTATCGTCAGTGGGTCAGTTAACAACGGGGTCAGTGGAGGGCGAATCCGGGCTGCGGGTCAACCAATCACCACGTCAGGTTCCGTCCTCCTGACAATAACTATTAACTGTATATGCACCCACAAAACCGAATTTGCCAATGACTGCAGTGATGCAATTACGATTACATCACGCGCAAAGTAGTAATATTAATGGATCAATATTATGTGGATTTTAATGACGTAAAGCCGCGAGTGCAACGACCTTCGTGTATATATTTTCAATTGCAAACGTTCAGGAATTTCGTTTCCAAATTAATTATCAGAATATTCAAAATTGCTTTTTCTAAGTTTTCAAGGATCGAATAAAATTTCTACTACCTTTTCAGAGCGTATCTACTAAAGGGAAATTGATTTCTGATTTAAAGAATGAGGTCTGACCTAGGAGAAGTATCGCTCTTCGGAGATGGCCTGGCAGTTTTTCATTACCGGTGATCTCCTCTTGGGAACCAGCCGGAAGACCAGAGTGTACAATTACACCAGGTGGGGGATAAATAAGGAGTAGGTGGCACGACGAGATGAGGCGAGAAACAAGACGGAAGTGGGTCAGCGGGATTCTCGGTCGTGAGGGTCCGGGTTCATTTCTCCTCTTCAAGAGAGTCACGGTGAGCTCCGGCTAACGAACTAAAATCTACAAAAGTGTTTGCGATCGAGATCAAGTAAATTAACAAACAGATTAACTTTGTAAAATAAAGAAGAAAGTTTTAACGCGTTCGTCACCACTCTAGGACAATATAGGACTTTTTATCTCTATCGTTTATAATTCCACAGTCTATAGACGAATGATATGGTAACGAATGCGTTTAAAGATGATCCTTAGATGAAATTGAAATAAAATATTCCTTTATTTTAAGAGATTACCTTGATACTTGCTAAAGTATTCTAAACTTCAAAATATTCGATTCGATGTATAACAATGATAACGAGTTGTTGTTTGCCTGCATTCGGTTTGTTGTTCTTCTTGAAATAAATAATTCTTCTTCTTTTGATAATTCTCAATTATATTTTATACATACATAGACTTTTTCGAATATTTACAAATAGTTCATTCTTCTCGTTCGATTAGCTCCTTCATTTTGGAACACCCGTGCAAGGAGGAACACCAGGACTTCTCGAATCTTACACAGGTTCGTTTACCTCCCCGACATTAACGCTTAACTGCTAATGATTATTTTACACTCAACATCGATAAACACTCAGGTAGAGCTAATAAATTTTCTAGCGTTTTGTTAAGATTTTTCGCGTTTTCATTCTACTTCCACTTTTCTTTTTCTTCTTTCTTAATCTCGTTTCTGCTTGATACACAGACGCATTTTTATTTTTCTTGAAAATTCGTACCCCGATCACGTTTGCATTTTTGCAAAATATAGAAAAATCTCTCTCAATCTCTCTCTCTCTCTTTTTTTACGTGTTTCCCCTCTCTTTTGTTTTCTCGATAAAAAAATATGTGCATCGTATATTCTTGTTTGAACTTAGCTGGCCCCCACGAAACACGATACCACTGTTCAATCGTTGTCGATCTAAATTTTGAAAAATTTGTCGTTACCGGGAAAGGACGGATCTTAATATTTGTATCGTGTGACGATTACAATATTTGACAATTGAACTCCAATAAAATAAAGTATCCGGATTACATTTTTAAACTCCAATTGCTTAAATTCTCAATTTTTATTTCTATAGTTTTTGATTCTCTGCAGTCTGATTTTTCTGACTACAAAGTTTTGGATTACTGGACAGTGGTGCCATGCGTATATGGTGTATTTTACAATCCACTTTGCATCTAATTTATCACCAATGTGTCTTCTAAGTCACGATTTCAGGAAATGCTCAGAACTCCAGCAAGAACTTCGACTCCAAAAGAAAGTTTACAAATTGCGTTCAGCTTCGTCGATAAAACAGGAAACAGAAGTATACAATGCTTGTACTGTAAACAAATATAAAATATAGTAGAATTGATTTAGGAGAATACGAAAGAGAGCCAGCGATCTCGTATAATAAAATATACACACCGATTCTTCGCGCATCAAGAATGGACGTAAGAAAAACGCTTGCTCTACGCTCGAAATACAGTCGCGGTTAATCTCAGCAAGAATAAAAATCTTAATAACGATAGTAATACTCTCTCGTTAACTACGCAACAGTCTATAAAGCCTCTTATTTTCGTCTGAATCACGTATCCTCGTTCTTCGCGCTACAATCCTCGTTCGTTACTCTCTAGAGCAGAGATTCTCAAAATTAGAATTCCAATATTTCAGAAATTCAAAGCTATGGAGCTTTTGAATCGTGCACCTTTGAAAAATGAAACATTGAGAATCCCTGCGCCAAAGCTAAGCGCCTCGAATTAATTTCATAGAATGCTTGCATTGTTCCCATCGAAAGACAATCGGACAAGAATCTCTTTGCGCACCTCGTCGAGAACAGAACGATGCCTATGTAGAGAATCGATCGACTCTCCTAGCAAAGTGACGATCAAGCAGAACACAGCTTGTTAAAAATAAATCGCTCTATACGCATTTACATGAATTTAAAAATATAAATACAAAATCTTCCCTAAATTCGTACGTTTGTGCTCTCAGTCCGTTCGAAATGTCCAAGCTTTTTAAACGGAATACACGCCGGATCACGAGGATCTGAACCGACAATAACTTGGGCACGTCGAATATACAATTGAGACGAACGAGATCTTCGAAGCATTTGACGCGTTTACACTCGGCGACGCGTATATCGAGTTAAACATTGAGATCGGTAGCTAAAATATAACAGTATATAATATTACCTTGAGTATTATTCGTTCCTTTACAAACTACTTAGGTCGTAGTCGAATCGAAACTCGGTTGGAATGTACATACGGGTCAGCTAAATACAATTTTAATCCTTGTCCGTCAGACGACCGGTCGCTCGTTTCTTTTGTTCATCTAATTAATTACGTGTGATTTACTTAGAGCCTCGGGAGGTACAACTCAAGAATTCTCCTGTCATCTTTTGTCTACATTTTAACGCGTTCTATACCTTGCAAATTGTCGACGAATCAAAGTCAAAAAAAAAAAAGAGTGAAATTTGAAGAACAAAAAGCCTTAATACATAGAATCTAATCGCAAAAATATCACAGGGAATAGAGACGCGTTAAACTCGATAAATCTTTGGCTGCTATCGCCAATTATGTACGAGACGGAGTGTTTTTTATACTGATAGGGATTTTCTTCGTCGCGATCCCTTTTATCTAATCGTATCCTGTTTCTGTCATACTTTACTTATGCTATAAATACGCGGTGTGTTTACTACTGTGCTCAAGAGCTGCAAGGACGTCTTGTTTCTGCCTCACGTACAGCCTGCCTTTTTTCCAGGGGTTTTGCAATTGCAAAAGTTTAAAGTCGTCCCTCAGACAACGTTCCCTGGCACCGATCACAGCGACCAAACAGAAATTTGGTAGCTCGTCGGCTGTGTAAATAGGACCTTCTTGTCCTTTCAGAACTACTGCCATGTTCAACTGCTTCACCACCAAGTTCACAACTTCTCTGGCCGTGGTTCTTGGTGTCACATGTAATTTTAGGCTGGTTCCAGAAGCCAGGCCAGTCTCGTAGGCCGCGTAAACCTGCAAAGACATCGGATTTTGTTATTAGAAATATTATTAAACTATGACCAGGTATACGAATATATAAATTGTCTGTTGTAAAAATCAGCGTGACATTCAGTTGGTAGCGCAGCGACAGCACGTTGCTCGATACATTTGGCTGTTATCAATGAATACATAAATTAATGGAAGTTAGTACTAACTGGCTAACAGAAAGATAATAATAAAGGACAAAAATAGTTGTTCAAAACGAAACAGACACAGAATATATCGTGTGCAATGAACTTTACCTAAATCAACGCATGAGTTTATTATAACTCGTGAACGCGCGTAGGTGTATTATATATGTTTTATATGTATAATTTGAAATTCTCATGAAATTTCATGCTCTACCAGATCGACAATACATGGAAAGCGTAATTTGGAAAGCGCATCCGAGCGAAACACAAGCACTGAAGTTTTAGCTGTGTGGCGGCTTACTCGTACGTCTGCTACATCGGTCTGCACTAGAAGACCAAGAGTGAGTTGTGTTTAACTACAATCGGGTTAGACTTGTGTGCCCTACAAGGAAAAATATTATTTAAACTCAACGGGTGGTTGCGAAACAAACGTGTTTTTCTCTAAGAAAGCTCGCGCAAAATATATTCTCTCCTCTAACGAGAAGCAACTGTGAATTAGAGTTCGAAAATCGCGATTTAAGTATGTTTCCGTGTGAAACTAGTGTAAAGGACGAGTTAACACCACGATGTAATTATCAGTATATCCTAAAATATATGTACAGTGCAATTTCACTACAGTACCGTACAAGTATAGCGACTAATGTTACTGTTAATGTTACGCGTTATTAACTCTACGAGATTCCACTGTACCATAATATTTTTATTATACCCTAATCTTTAATTCAATCTACAAGACCTACTCCCTAGTTTGTAAGTTTCATTAATCTCGGCCGTCTAAACGAATTGTACTTGAAACACTCGGTGTTCCAAGAATTACCTGAAGAATACCAGGTAAAGGAGCCGGCATCATCGTTGCCTCGTCCTTTTCTTCCTCCAATTGGCTCTCCAGTGACCCAGTCGCCATGGCTGCGACACTGGCTGTAGGTTTCGTTGGTTTGCTCTTAACGTGACCGCTTTTTATGCAAACACTCGAGTTTGGCGTCGAGTATTCGTCGCTACTAAGCGAATGTAAACTGTCAGAATTGGTATTGCTGACGCTTAGTAGACTGGTGGTGTTTGTCATGGCGGTCGATACGCTTAAAAGCGAGCCGCCATAAATCATGGGTTTGATGCTGAGCAAAGGACTGGTGCTCGCTGATGCGGACGTGATTGTGGCCGACCTATTTCTGGGGCTGTGTTTGTATTTCGTTAGGATCAGTGTGTCCTCGGATTTAGAAGGCGGTAACCTGGTGTTTTGCAACGGTACCAAATGATTGTTGCTGCCACCGCTGGTCGTATTGGTCAGATTGCTGGTGCTGCTCATGGGTATAGAGGACTTTTGCGGTTCCGATCCAGTCGATACGTTTGACGTGTTGCTGCCTTTGCGAACGTATTGGCCGCTGGGTAATTGTTGTTCGCTTTTACTGAACTCTGTCGTGAGTAGATTCGAAGACGAATTTGTCACGTTAGGTCCTGGCCAACTACCTCGACCTGGGCTCGATTTAACAAGTTTTGGATCGCGTGGTGGTAACTGTAGCAAACTCCTTTTCAAGCTGTTACTGTTGCTGTTACTTTTGTTTCTATCGAGGCTAAGAAGGTGTTTCATTGATATTCCGACAGTTTGCGATGTACTCTGTAATTACAAGTGTAGACGGTTGATTCGTGATACATTACATCCTATAACTAAGCGATTGCTTAGCTGTTAATTAAATTTCTGATCAATACCACTTACGCTTTGTTGGGAGGATCCACGATCCCTTGCAAAGGTGATCACATCTATAAGCCACCTGGCACCCTTCCAAACTGTATTCACCTGAGTTTGAAGATCCTGTAACCTCGCCAGTTTATCCTTTGCTACGCTCAATTCCAAAGAGCTAAAGGCTTCTCTGTGATTGTGTTGCGCTTGCGCGGTATCAAGCTCCAAAATACAACTCAATCTCGAGTATCTGTTGATTACGTCTTTCTGATACGTATTTAAATGAACCATTTCGAATACTTGAATGGGTAACGATAGGAGATCACCGCGCTGAAGAAGGATCTCCCTCGTTCCAGGTACACAACAGGCTGTCTCCGCAGGAGGTACAGCGATCAGGAACGACACATCGTGAGTAAGGTCGATTACTTCGGCATCGTAGAGTCGATGAACTAAGGAATCCTCGGGGTTGATCTCCATGTAATTGAACAATCGTCTCGCGGTGGCAGACACTAGTTCAACGAACAATTTCTGTTGCTCGGTTCCTTGCAATTCGTTGGTAACGTTCTCTTTCTCTTCAGAGTCTTTCACCGAAACGTCCGACGCGTACATACGAGTTATCCTTTTCAGATAATCCCATTCTTCTCTGAAACGAAATAAACGATAAGGATCGATCGCGCATGCACGGTATATGGTCTATCGTGAGCCGATACTTACGCAGAAACATGAGGATTATCACGAATTTTACAGTGAGGTAAAACATTGGGCGATTTTGCGGGTACCACCACTTGAATGAGATCCACGCTACTTTGCATCTTTAGGTAGCCAAGATAAAGACCCTTCGATAATTTAATACTGCTAACTTGATGATAAGTCATCTGTTCCTGTATACTAGATATTAAAATATCCGCTACGTTACTGTCTTCGTGAGGTATAACTTTCTTCGTAACTTTACTAAGAGGTAACCATCTGCTGTTCAATACCGAGATCAATTTTGGGGATTTTATATAATTCACTGTGGAGAAAACTAGAGTGCCTTGGATATCTCGGATAGGTTTGTGATACAGTTGTCCAAGGTCCTGTATGCACAGTGCTGCCTAAAATGACCATCAAACAATTATTTTCTGCCGGTAACATTTTGAACAGAGAACGTACAACTTCCGTCGACAACGGACGAACCTGCATTTGCGCAGCTGCCTGTAACAATTTTATCCTGAAATGATTCGTTGAGCTGCTGTGACTTTTCTCCATGTCCTGGCGAAGTGTTTTGACATCGTCCCACGTGCAGGCCACCTTCATCAGCCAATGGAAATCGTTGTAGATACAGCTGGGATAAGTTTCGTCGACTTCGATCACGGGTAAAAAATCCTCGTTAGTCACTAGCACTTTGTCCTCGTGATAGAGCAAGCAAGCGAGGAATACTCCTCGTCTGAGGTTCTTCTGAAATTTACTGGTCGCCGTGAAGAGCTGCTTTATCGTTGTCTTCTTCTTGTGATTACGCCGCTGCACCGCCGGGGTCTCTTGAGTGTACTCCGGTCGTCTTATATCCGTGAACAGAGTATTCAATTGTTCCAATCGGCCAGCGAATCTTGGCACTCGGCCATCGATGTCTCTCCAGCCTGGAACAATAATTCTCGGTCTTACAAGCAGTCACACTTTTACGGATCTAATAATAAATTGGATCCGACACAATGATTAATCCGCGAGCGATGCAACTTCCAAAATTAACTGCGACTAAACGAAGTTTGCACACACGGGGCAAATTTAGACGCGACTTATATCCGAATGAAATTGAACAGATTATTCGACTACGTTTCTCGGCTATCGCTCGAACGTAACACGGTAGAAAATTGCAGATCATCTTACTGCTAGGTGTAACGTGGGCGGGTGTGGAATTCCTGAATCTGCTGTAGCCTTTCAAGTTGCCGGCAGCGGCTCGAAAATAGTACTTTTGTCCCTGGATTAGATCGTCGATCCTGCATTCTCTTTGTTTCATGTCCAGAACTTCTCTCTCTCCACCGATCGCCGAAAAGTCTTCTTTGCTGCTCCATTGAACCTTGAACTTGGTGCAGATTGGAGAATCGTGAGAATCTGGTTCTTGGAACCTCACCGTTACGGAATTTGTTCCTGTCACATCGATCGCTACCAAAAATGGCATATCTGGTGGTCCTGCGATGAATCGATAAAAAGCCGTTTTAGTTTCTAGGAAATTCGTCGTTGAATAATTCGAGCATCGTTAAGGGAACTTACTCGCTTGATCAAATCCAAGAAGCATCTTCCTAAGAGCTCTGGCCCTTCTTTCCCATAGAGCAAGTTGTTTGTCCTCCGCGCTACCACCGCATCCCGTGAGATTATTGTGCTGCGACGAAAAACTTGATCTATGACTGGTAGGTGGCTCCAACAGGGTGGTCCCACCGCTACCGGAAGTACTCCCGCCGAGTTCTTGAACTCTGTGTTCCGCCTCTGACAACAACGAAGCCAAATGGCTGCCCAGGGACTCCGGAGACTTGACTGTCGTAATCAAATCAAACGAATTTCTCGCGTTAAACTCTTGATTGCACGCCATCTCGCTTTCAGAACTTTTAAACACCTTACAAAAGGATTTCACTCAGAAATGCTAAATGTCTAATTAATAACATTTTTATATTACGAAATCGCGTTAGAATCTAAGCTCTGTTAACATCAACTATTTCATATACAACGCGTTAATAGAAGCAAACGCATCAAGAATTTATGACCGTATTATGAATACAGTTAATTAGAGGATACGGTAAATTGTTCAAAGACTACTTAGTCGTTAGAAAAATCACGAAGAAAACGAGCAATGAAATCGTGAAGGGAACACGCGTAATGGGCTGAATTGCTCGAATCAACGTGGTTTGTGAGCGGAGAAAAATCATCCAGCTAATTGAACTCGATTCAGCTGTTCCCGATGTTTATGAATGCAAAATCTGCGGTGAATTCCAGACAGAATAGCCGGTTATGTATGGCGGATCCGTTTCACCGCAATTGTGTCCACACCAGAGATATCGATTTCCACTTTCTATCGAGACACTTTATCTTCCAGCGGTTTATTTTACGACTTTCGCGAGAAATACGATTCAAAAGATTAACCAGGCTCTCGTCGAAAAATTAAAAACCGCGACTATGTTTTACTCGATCGAGACTTTTTTATGCAAGAAACATGACTTTTGGTAGAAGCGACTTTAACGTCAACGTAAATCGTGACGATAGAATTCGATCGACAAATTATGTTTGGCAGATGTAATGCATGGATCGAAAATCGTGCCAAGAACCGTAACTCGAATCGCATCGAACGCTGGGCCGATACGAGATCTCCCTCGTTACGTCTCGTAACGTCAACGTCGATGGATCGATTCGACCGCAGACACGATTGAAAATACCAATTTATTCGCGTCCGACTACCGTTACGCAATTTGCAGTCGATACGCGCTGTATGATCAATTACAGCAGCACGAATGTTCCAAGCGTCGTTGATCGGCTCGGTTTCGTTCATTTTCGTTCTTAATCTGGTATCCACCGTGCACGATAAATTAATGGAAAAAAAATCGAGGAACACTTACATTGATTACCCTCCTGTGCACCAAACGCGACCAGCATTTTTGCAAGTGGCCTGTTGTTGCTTAGCACCGCCACATCCAGGGGTGATAGACCGTCGCTGTTCACGCTGAAAATGAAATTTATCGAACGAAATAAATTTAAGCGATCGATCTCGTGTCTTCGTACGGAAAAACAAACGATTGCGACTATTTCCGTGAGGTAATCGGCATCAATTTCGTTCTTGCGTAAACGCGCTTTTGCCAACTGCCATTAGTAAAACGGGGACGACGAGAGGAGAAGTGGATAAACGGATTATTGTTGCAGCGAATGGACATTCAGCGACGATTACGAAGCGGGCGTTGCATACGTACACCGGTTGAAACATTCAGCGATCCATATTGTTCGATTCCGTTCCAAGATCGATACGTTTCTTAACAACGTCGATAAGTCAGAAACCGGTCTGTACTCGAGCTCGGTTCAACGTCGAAATAAAAATTTATACTCGTCGTTTATGAACGGATATTTCGTAGACGAACGATAAATTTTGTTTGCGACGCCGATTTAAACCTGAACATCGAAGGAAAAGAAAATAATATTTTAAGCGAATCACGAGTCTAATAGAAGCTCGCCACAGAGGCGGCGATGCTGCAAAGTATCTGTGTCTACGGTGTCCATCTAGTCGACGAAATCTAATTATTGTTGGGAATCGCTACGTATCCACGACGAGCCTTCTGTCAGGGATCGATACGATTACAATGTAGAACCTCTGTGTAACGTGTCGAAATGCGCGCAGGGCTTTGTCTCGAAAGCGATCCTCATATCGAACGCCAATTAACTGGTGCTAACAGAATCCAGCCGGTAGTAAATGAAACTTTATGCTACGCTGTATCGACTTGCTTCGTTTCCTGTCTGTTATTACGCCATTCGATGGCTAATAACAGAGAGCGTATTAATATTAAACTGGAACCTCTGAATTCTGGTTTAACGAGCGAACGACAAAAGAAAGAACCGAGGGCTAGTAACAAAAACCGATCGTAAAAGCTTGTTCCGTGAAATGAAATTATTATTAACATTTTCGCTTCGGATCGTTTCGGTAAATCGAATGGTACTTCGATTACAAGGGTAGAAAAGAAAGTACAAGTTCGTTTGGTAACTCATTAAAAATTCGAATCAATGAACTTTCGAGACCGTTACGAAACTTTCAAGTCCAAGCCGACGTTGTCCAATCCTGCGTTAATTGGCTTGTTTTCTGGGACTGGCGAGAAAATTAATTAACAGCTGCAATTAACCTACATTACGACGCGTGGAGAATCAGTGTTCGGCTCGTTGTTCGTGTTCGAAATCATCTAGAGTAAATTTTGCAATTTCTACGATATCGCCATTTATTTGGCTTTCTGATCGAGAAAATTGAGAGAATCGTACAGTTCTCGCGAAATTTTCTGAAATAAACGAGAAACCGGGGAAAATAAAGGTTCACGAAGCGTTCAATAAACTCACCTGTTCACATCCACGTCCGTCGATTCCAAAATTGTTCTGGCTTTGTCGAGATGACCATGTTCCACGGCTGCGAATAGCGCTGAAAAATATTTTAAAAATGCGAACTGAATACTCGTATGCGGTACAAATGATTTTTCTCGTCGACGCTATACAACGTTCGGAAATTGGAAAGCCGGTATTCGTTAGGCATCCTCGAACTTTGGTCACTGTTTTCTTTTCACGAAAAAATATTGCGAAACGAATAAAATTGTACGTTCGAGAGACGATTCGAGTTTAAACGTAAAATTTATAAATTCAACCCTCGGTTCGAGGGTTAAAACGAAGGTTGAAAATTAATAAATAAAAATAAATAAAAAATACCATGCAGATGTATGTTGAGAGACTGTGCCGATAGGGGATTGATGTGCACCGACGATATACTGTTCGATTGTTGATGGGGTTGCTGCTTTTTCTTCCCGAAACCCTCCAGGAACTCCATCCCTTGTAAAGAGTACAGCTCTGGGTGAACACAAACAACAGAAACTGAATAAAAAAAAAATAAGAAACGAAACGAAAAGAGTACTAATTGAAAAGACACGAGTGCACGATAATTAGAGAAGTGCTTCTGGGAAAAGATGGACGGAAAAAGGGATATACGAAAGACTCTGCGCCGCTTAACGAAGCTTTGTCCAGGTTCAACTTGTTATGGTGACCAACCGTTGCATAATACACAAGAAAGCGGGAACACGTTTGTTGGATTTGTGACAATACGCTGTTTTCTCGTGCAACTGCGACGCTTCAACGCGTCTTTTCTACTTCGACTTGTTCTTTCGATGTCTGTCTTCTCGTATCAATTTTATTTCGAGTTCTTTCTCGTCTTAAAGTTCAGTCGGTAAATAATAATTAAAAGTTCGCGATTTTTTGATCGAATACGATAAAAACAAGGATTTCTTTCGATAAAATTGTTTCCATCGATTTCTGTTCTCTTACGATATTTAATTGGCAATTATCGAAGAAAACGTTACCGTTTCGTTAATTAAGAACGAACGAAATTAAACGAAAAATACAAGACACGTAATGAGACGCAGGCTAATTACGATAATAATGGTTTAAAGTCGTTGAAATTAGTGATAAAAGCTGATAACTCGTACTTGATCCAGAAGTGGTCGTAACGAGTTGTCTATCTTGTCCAATGGACTCGTGGTCCCTCGAATCTTTGATCGACTTCTTTCTCCCCACCGAGACCTTATTACGGAAGCTGCTGCCACGGCCGTTCGTCCAAAAGTTCGCTATATTATCCACGGTCCTGATCCTGCAGGACTTGGAAGAACAGACGGAAGTTTTCCTCATTTTCTCCGACGCTTTGCGTTCCTTCGAGGATAAATCGTCGTCTCGATGAGACTGGCAACAGAAATTCGTCCTGTACTCGTTTAAATCCAGACTCTTGGCAATCTCCTCGTCCTCTTGCAGGACAACGTCGTTCACCGACAAACTCCTAGCTTTGGGACTACGAAACGAAGGACGATTGTTTTTATTGCACTGGAAATTTGCCGCTCCCTCGAACACCGTCTCGTTCGCGTAAGGACGTCGAGAGTCCACTAGCAGAGTCAATACAGGATCCTGGTGGGACCTTTCCGAGGACATCTCGTCGTTGCATTCGATTTCGCTCGCGATGCGACTAGAATTCTCCGGATCGAACAAGAAACTCGAGACGGACGAGTCCAGAGAGCTGTCCAAGCAGAAGGTAGGATTTTCGTAGGACACGTGGACATCCTTTTTCTCCGTGGTTGGACTTTCCTCGTTGCTTTTCCATCGAAAAATATGTGTTACTTTGGGCGACAATGGTCCAGCGGATTTCTTCGGAGCTTTCTCGGTGTCCTTGCGATTTCTCCTCATTATCCTGTCCGTCAGGCATAACTTATTCTTCAACTCTTTGCTGATTCTGCGAGATTCGAGCTCGTTCAACGACACCGAGTCCTTCTCGAGATCGTCGAGTATCTTCTCGTCGCTTCTCGCAGGATTCTCTATAACGTTGGATTCCGTGTCAGCCACAGGACTCGACGAGGATTCTTCAAACGAGGATAACTTGTTTCGGCGTTTTTTCGAGCGCTGATCACGCACAGCCACCGGAGACAGATCGAAACCCGCGTTCCGATTTAAACGCAGATTCGCGTGACTCTTCAGCTTCGACATCAGCTTCATCGACGCTCGAAAGGACCTCGACCTCTTCAGGGTCGACATCCTGCCGTCGTTTGACGACCGCCTCGAGAGCAATTCCATCTTTGGACTGGATATGGACGATTTGCGAAATTTCATCTGGAGAAGACCAATCTTCACAGCGAATGCTTCGTTATATTTTTATAAGCTTTATCCTCGTAAATTGCGCTCCAAGTATCCTTTCAGATTGCTCGAAACGTTCGATACCATCTTATTCATAAGTTAAGAGTTTTAATACGCTTCTAAACTTTATTTATAATTGTTCATAAGTTTTCTAATTATCCTTTGATCCAATAAAAAAATGTCGAAGAATATTCGAAACGTAAACTTTTTAATGTTACATACAGGTACGTAGAATAGATATCTTTGGCAAGAGACGATTTTGTACGCGTGTCTCCCGGGATCCTTCGGGCGCTTCTTTGGTTCGATCAAGCTGCAAAACGACGAATCGATTGTTTTCGCGGGACAATGACAATGGACCGAATTAATCTCGGCTAGTTTCGTCGGAAAACACGATGAACACCTTTCCGATAATTAACGACATCACGTGCCGATATACTCGAATTCTCAACAAGGTTAGTAGCTTTCTTCGTTTCGAGACCGTTGTTAACAACGACGACAGGAGCAACTATGCACGCTAATGCAAGAAGATGATAAACGACACGAATATCAAGAACGAGATCACTGCACACCGATAACACAGATTACGTTTCGAGGTATTACCACCTTCCATAGGCCCGTAATTCTCCTTTTCCTAATACCACTTCGAGCAAATAGCAGTCCTTGAGCCATCGAATCGTTGAATTATTCACAGAAGGCTGGATCTATCGTAAAATACTGGCAAACCCGCCATTTGGAGCCGTATTACTTGATAAGAAGAAAATTTTCGTACGAGTAATGGTTGGAGTATTTAGGATGCTCCGAAAAATCTACTGTTCTAATCGAACCTACCGTTATAGTTTTTAGTGTACGAGTAGGAACAAAAACGTTATAAATTTCATTCTTACGGAATGCGATAATGTTTAACGGTACCGGTATTGTGCATCGAACGAAGCTTTCAAGGTTTATGAAACTTTTCGTCGGTTAATAACGCGATGAAAGAAGGAAATCTTAGAAGATGATTTGCCCATTTTAAACACAATGGAGCGAAATTGAAACTGACAATGCCAAACGACGCTTTAAAGGATTACCACCTTCCACTTGCAGAGAATCAATTTTCCAATTTTAATCGATTTTCTTCTTTCGAAGCTATTCCGAGGGAACTCTTAAACCATCGAATCGTTGAATTATTCACGAAAACCTAAATTCACTGTATCTGTTGTAGGTGTTAGCAGAGGTAGTTCTTCCAAAATTAAAATCGATAACGTTCGTTACTCGAAAAAGCATCGTCTCCGTTTAGATCCTTATCCCGATACATTTTCGGTAAACGATAGTCCCTGGTGAACCGAATCGTCGAATAATTCACGAAACGCCGAAGCAGGATAAAGCAGCACGTTCCGCGATTGGAAAATCTAAGATCACTATCTCGAGCGGAATCGCGTATCGAACGAGGAGAAAGCGAACTTTACGAAAGAGGCGATTGCAGCGGTCGAAACGCGACGAGACAAAAGTCTAGCGTTGTCCGAGACTCGTGGAAGGCGAATGAAACGATTTTATTATTTACTTAGGACACAGCACCCGGACGATTCCAGTGCGCCAGCCCACAATTGCCCATTACGAAGAAGTGGCCTGAACACGTCGCCTCTTCCTCTTCGAGACAAGCGTGACAATTTGTTAGCCCAATCAAACTTATTGCCAGCGTCCGTGGACTGCTCGCTGGATCGCTCAAGATCGAGGGCATTGTATCGAGATCGACGGTTAGAATCAGGAGCAAACCAGTATCGAGTGTAAGGTAAATGTCGGCTCGATTACTGCTTAAGAACAAGCGTACGTGGAACGACTTCTCATCGCTCACCCTCCGTTTTTTCGATCAAATACGCGAACATTTACGAATATCAAATATTTTTATATTCGAACATTTACCAACGAAAATCCGTCAAGCTATGACGATGACAGATGCGAAGCATAGCCTATTTTTAAATTTATGAAACAATGATTGTTACTGTCACGGATAAATGATCGATTCAGAGATAGAGATTATATTTTTGTGCATAACGCAGAACCGTGACAAGATTGTGGTGAAGTTTTTGACCGATCAGCGCGTGCAAACTTTATCCTGACTGGATAATAGACAAAAAACGCCGTAGAAAACTTATAGGCTATAAGAAAGAAAAAGAATCGGGTAATACACTGTGATCATAAAGCAAAAGCAGATCTCGAAGATTCTCGAAGCATATCGACGAAGAACAAAATATTTGATACAAAGTGTGCACTTTACTTTTTTGATCCAATTATGAAATCTGAGAAGCAATATGAAAACGAGAAATGATTTAGCGAGTCTATCTAAGAATGTACGAGGAATGGATATGGAGTGTATACTGTAAACGTTTTCGGTAGATATGGAATTTTAAAGAAGGTGAAGTATTTGCGGAGACAACTTGCAAGATTTACCATAATGCTCGGGGAAGTTGGCGGAAGTCTGAGGAAATTGGATACGTTGGTCTGTCAGTGAACGACGGAGGAAAAAGCAAACGAAATAAATGAAATTTCTAAAAACAGATCTCACCGATGTAAGCACGAAACCGTATTTTCCTTTCTCCTAAATCAATTAATTTATTCGATAAAGAACGCGAGCTACGATTGTCGGTAGAAAGCGTTCAGCTACGAAATCAAGATTTTCTGCCAATATAAACGCGAAGGGAATCTAATAATCGCGGCAAAAGCTTTATCGCAGATCAAACAGATATTCTAGAGAAGGGACACGCGCGAACAATTAGTGCGTTTCGTCGTAAAAAATCGATCGACACTTGTAACAACGAGCAACATCGAGTGCAAGTCAAACGAAACGAGAGAAATGATATTATAAGTACCCTGATTAGATAAACGAACGATCGATCGAAGCGCAGATGGCCGAATTATCGTTCGATAAATAGGAAACGAGAATCGCGCGATAAAGACAGGACGCGCACTCGAATCGATCAGGAAGAATACAACTACCCTCTTACGATACGTTAGAAGCTAACGAGGCAATTATGCCTCGACGGATTGATAATGGGATAATTAAAGTCGCCGGTAAATAGATTCGTTGGCGATTCGCTTCGACGTTGGTTCGCAAACTTCAGAAGATCGACCGAGGATTAACTACAATTTACTCGCGTTCGAATATTATTTTCGATGTTTCGCGTTGACAGAGTCCAACACCGGACGCGTCGAAAGGAGAGCACAGA